CTTATATATATATATATATATATAACGCATATATATATTTGATACCTAAACCCAAAAAATATGCAAGAAAAAAATATTATAATTTAAATTATTTTTTAAACTAGTTATGTTTATTATAAAAATATACAAGCAATTGAAAATATACATGCGAGAGCTATCTTGTTTTTTTGAATTATGTTGAGTATAATATTATAATTAATAATTATACTAATTATATTGATAACCAAGTCTTATATACTATTTATTAATATGTTTATATTATAAATTATATAATGAATTATTTGTTGTTATAGTTGTAAATTGTATTTTTAAATTAGATGATATTATAAGATAAATTTCAAATTGATTATTTTTAAATTATTTTGATGCAATATTATAATATTTTATTATAATTAATTATTATACATAAAAGTGTCTCAGTATTCACCTATTTTTACAAAGTAATGAAAGTATATAATGTACCACTTTTAATTTCTTTGAGAAACTAAAAAAGCACTATTTTTAGAGATTCATAGTGATTTTTTGAAAATTTTGAGACAAAAATGACTGATTCATCTGATTCTCTAAACCGATCCACACAGGTATGGGTGTGACCGATTCTTGTGACATCCACTTTTTTAATTACTGCGTCAAACCAACGTTCCAAATAACGCTGGGATATTGCCACTTTATTAAAGCATATGCGTGAGACTAATTATTTCCGTAAAGGTAACATGAAACAAAGCTTTAAAGTTTCACTTGGCATCTAAAGGTCGTTATAATGAAGTCATCATAAAATTATAATGAAGTTGTCATAAAATAAACAACACCTACCCGTGACATTGTACAGAGTTAACATACAGGGGTAAAAGAAGTTTACCCAAAATCTACGCTTATGCTCCGATATGGGTCGTTCGGATCCTCGATACACAGATCTTGGATATGCCTAAAAACCTAGGTATGCAAATTCTAGAACATGTAAAACTTGGTTTTAGGGACAATGTTGCTTTGTTAGCTTAAAAACAAAGACAAATCCTTTGTTTGCTCTACTAAGTTGAAAACCAGGCTATGGAAATTTGCTTTTAAACCAATTTACCTGTTCATTGCATAAGTTGATGATTCCATACGTCCAATAAAAAGGATAGCTTGAAAATAAGGCATCCATAATTTGATAAACAAATTAGACGGTTTAGTTCTTATTTTAACATTCATAATATGATAAAAAAAATCATATAATAATAACAATATATATTAATATTAATATTAACATTAATATTAATACGCATAAATATAATTTGTAATAATTATATAAAATTAAATAAATATCATTATAAATAACTATTATTATAAATTTTATAATTATCATGCAGATCCTTTGAATGTTATTGATGTTGATTAAGGAGTTGCGTTTCTACCAAGAAAAGCCCAAGGATGATGTTGATGAGGACCAAGAGTTTCAGGATATGTTCTCAGATATTGGCACATCTTTTGACATGCTAATTGACCCAATTTATGAAAGGATCAAGGAGCATGTTAAAGCTTTTAAGAAGAGTTCTGTTAATGGTAATCTAGGTTCAGAGGAGAATAAGATGGGGGCTGATAATGAAAGGGGCAAAGAAAAAAGGAAAAAGTAAGTCCAAGGAGGTCGAGTCAGATATTGTGAAAGGAAAAGAGAAAGGAAAAACCAAGTCCATGGAGGATGCCCTCCAAAGATCTTCTCTACGAATTCCAGCAGGAAGGAATGTTGATGTTGCAGGAGGAGTGGCTTTCAAAGAGATTAGTCCGACTGTGGCAGTGATTTCAGATTCTTATGATAGTTCCATGTCTGCCAATATTCCTCATAGCACCAGATTTGGATCTTCTTCTCATGGTTATGAAGATTATTAGATGAAATGTGAGAGGTCTAAGGGAGATAAGGAGAAGCGTAAGGTTCTGATACTTGTCAAGAACCATAGGCATGACATTTTGCTGTTGCAGGAGGCTAAGTTATCTAGACCGTCTTTAATTTATGTTAGAGAAGTATGGGGTGTGGGCACAGTTGGTTTTCCAGTTGTGGATACTACTAGATCTTTAGGAGGTTTATGGACAGTTTGGGACTCGTCTTTTCTTAAGTCTGTTGAAATTTTGGAGTTTTGAAGGTCCTAATTCAAACTTTAAATGGATGTGCATTAATATTTATAGGCCAAACTCGAACTCCCTCAAAGAAGAATTTTTTATTAAAATTTTCAATTTAGTTGCTTTCGTTAATTTACCTTGGTGTTGCTTGGTGATTTCAATATTATTTGTTGGCCGGATGAAATTTATTCAAACACACATGTGAATCATTCAATGAGGTTGTTCGATGATTTTATTTTAAGACATGCACTTATATATCTCCTTGTTAATGTGTTGTCGTTTTACCTAGTCCAAAGATAGATCGGTTTTTAGCCATCTCTCCCACAATTATCTTCTGATCGAAGCATATCATCCAAAGACATCTCCCATTTTTTTGATCTCCAATATCTGCCTTTGATCACCCTTGATCTTTAGGCAATGGGAGCACGAAAGGTTTATTTAAGGCCTCGAGCAGATTATGGCAATGTAATTCTCTATCGTCTTTCTTTTTTGCCACTATTGCGGAAGTTTTTAGTTTGATGATCCGAAATGTTGTGGCTAGGAGCAGATTTATTGGGTTTAAGGTTTCTTATTCTGGTACATCCATATCTCAATTGTAATATGCTAATGATATGTTATGTTTTATGATTTAAAGCTGGAGCATGTTAGCAATATTAGAAGATTGCTTTTGTGCTGTGAAATGGCTTTGGTATTCAAGGTAAAATTTGATAAAAAACTTCCATAGTGGGGGTAGGTTGTGAAGGTGATCTTTTGAATGATTTAACTTATCAATTGGGATGTAGAGTGGAGAAATTTCCAATTAAACATCTTGACTTACCTATTTTTGATGTTCGATTGCCTAAGTCAATGTGGGATCGAGTCTTGAAAAAGGTCCATACTAAGTTGGACTTATGGAAATCGAAGAATCATTCTCTTGTGGGAAGGGCAACTTTGATCAAAGCTTCACTATCAAATATGCCGGTTTACCAAATGTCTCTCATTAGTATACCAAACTTTGTTGCGAAATGTATTAAGCAACTTATGCGTAATTTCTTTTGGGGGTCAGGGGATTTTGGGAAAAAACATCATTTAATAAGCTGGGAGAGAATCTGTACAACAAGAAAAGAAGGATAGTTGGATATTAGAAAAGTCAAACTTACAAATCAAGATCTTCTTGCAAAATGGTCGTGGAGAACTATGAGCCAAGATGGGATGCTTTGGAAGGGCACATTGCGTGAGAAATAAGAGGTGAATCAATCAAACTCGTGGATTGGTGATGGAAGATGGGCTAGACAACAATTGCAAATATGAAAAGGAATTTTCAAGGTAAATATTTTATGATGCATCATTGTAGATGGATTGTTGGAAATGGAAGTAAACTTTTTGGCATAGCAAGCTGCTTGGTGAATCTTTGTTGAGAGATACCTATCCCCAGGTTTATAGTGCAACTGTTCATCAATGGATGACTGTGAATCAAGGCTTTGATTGGCAAAGGCAAGCTTGGAATGTGATTTGCCGTTATAATAGGGTTTCAGACTCGGTCATTGCTCAATTTACTAATTTACAGGAAGCTTTACAAGATATGCATCGAGCTTCAGTTCGAGAGAATGTGTTCCTTTGGGAATTTGAAAGTGATGGAATTGTCAAGGTCAAATCAAGGTATAATTTCTTGTTTCATGATAGGGTGAGATGGAATAGATGCTCTTTGAAAAAATTATGGTGTTAGAAATTTTTTTTATAAAATTAAGCTTTTTTTGTGGATTCTCTTTCAAGGAAAATTTTTTACTGTTGATAAGTTGATGAAAATTCCTTATATATTTAAACTTTTCCGCTTCATTAGCTATAAAGACACCACTGACTCCTACATAACAGAAATTGTAGTTCCAAAAAAGTCCTTAAGGATACATCCAAAGCCCACAGGGTCTGGGTTGCTAGGTCCAAGCATACCTCTTTGTGTTGTTGAAGGGAATTTGTTAAATTTTATTAACTGGTGCTCTTTTATTTCATGGCCTCCTTAGCGGTTTAGAAGGAAATGGATGAGAATTCAAGATCTTTGTTCTAGTTTGCTAGTCTCTTTTCAAAATGTTTATAGGGAGGTAAATTCAATTTTTGATAGCCATGCTAAAAGGGGTGTCAACCTTAAATCTGTTTTAGTTTCTGATATTCTTCCTCTTTGAAATGTTGTACTCAATCCTTTGATCAATAACAGAAAGTAATATTGCCAAAAACAAAGAACTATAGTAACATGCAAATTAGGTTTTGAGCTCAACTAGAAAAAACAACAAATATATGATATGCAACTCTATCAAAACAATCATAAAAACTTCCTATAAATTTATTTAGGAATAAAAAAAAAATGCACAAAGAACACTAACATTGTTATCCACAAAAGAATAAAAACCCAAAATCGATTGCAACTATTGTAGACTTCAAACAAGCAATCCCAGTGTAATTTTCAGCAAGCATGTACTTATCAAAATCTAATATAAATCACTCCAACAAACTAAATATAATACCCTAAAGTTTATTCCTTGGTTATAAAACTTTTTCATACTTCAAGTACTATTTCAGATGCAAAGTATGAACAAAAACTTGGAACAAATTTACTAAATTTACTAAATTTGTAGAGATTTGTAGGTCAAGTTTTGTAGCCTTTCTAAAGCGAGAAACTTGAAGAGAATGAGTTTTCTATGAATATATTGTATAGGACAAATGTTGTAAAATAAGAGTAAAGAGGTAATCTAGAGAGAGAAACTAATGCGAGAGGCAACATGGTCATGTAATTTATCTCATGATACTGGAGGGCTCTCATAGAGATGGGAGGCACGTCCCTTGTATCCAACTTACAAGGAAGCTTAAGAGAGAAAAATAGTTTTCAAAGAGAAAGAAATAACTCGTGCAAGGTGCCTCGGCCTCCACAAAACCATTTTCTATATATGACCACTTAAATGAGAGAGACACTTGTAGAGATAGATTGACCAAGTGTCGCCTCTTAATGCCCACTTGTCCCTCTTTTCAAGTTGATATTTTATTTTCACTTCCAAAAGCATTAGTTCCTTTTAAAAAAAATATGTTAGAAATATATTTTCCTTAGTGTGCGGTTTGTGTAGAGCCTAGGCTCTAAACAATCAAATTAGAGCCTACCTTCAAATAGTATCGAGAAATTTAGTTTCAATATTCGAAATCTTTGTGATAGCCTTAAAATATATTTTTTATTTTTATTTATAAAGTCTGTTTTCCATTTTGCAATGGCTATTTTGGACAGTTTGAGGATCCTTATGGGATCATGACATAATTCACGGTATTGGTGATTATTCATCTTGTCCTGTGATAGAGTGTTTTTTTAATGATGTGTGTTTTTTACGATGTAAGTGTCTGGTGCAATTTGGAGGACACTAGCGAGAGATAGAAAGTCCACTAATCTAGAAGCATGTAGGTGAAGTTTATGATATGGTTGATGACCACACAATATTTCATGACAATTAATGAGCGCGGAAATGTGTGTTGTTGATGTCATTGAGTGGATAGATCATATATATGGATGGATTTGTTGTTTGATGTACAACTCAAACAACTTATATATAGCTACTAAAGTTTTGTATAATGGTTTTGTAAATAATTTGAATCAAGTGGGGGAATGTTAAAGAAAAGGGAAAAGTTTATATAGAGCCAAGGCTCTAAACAATCAAATTAAAGCCTACCTAAAAAATTTCACTAGAAGAGATTGTTTTGATGCCCAAATATCCTCAAATTGATCATCTCGACATCAATATGCATGGACATGAGAGAAAAAATGGATTTCAAGTTTTGAAAATAGCGTATTTCTGTAATACATTTTTGGACCATCAATTTTCAAGATTTTCAAGTTTTCATAGATCGGTCAATCTACACTAGTTTTGAAGCTTTAAAGACATGCCATGTGGAGGTCATGCTCAATGAGTCATGCCAAATAAAACTATCCAGATTTACACTCATTAGATGTCAAATTGGATGGCTTGGAGTAAGTCACGAAGTTCGAGATTTTTTTTTTTTTTGAACTTTGTCTATTCAATGATACTCGTACAATTACCCATTTTGAAATTAAAAGGACGAGAATGATTGTGACCTCCATGTACAAAAGAAAAATAGTCTCTTTGTAGACAATCCAGAAAATCATGAAAGGTCTTGAATATTTTGAATTAAAATAAAAATAAGAGGTTTACTTCAAATCTTAAGCCTAATCTTAAGCCTGTTAAATAGTGCACCCTTGCTCTTATTTGAAATTTCATCATAAAAAAAAAAGGTACGCATCAAATCTTAACCTCATTCTTGGAGATTAAAGCATCTTTGTGACTTTTTCCATTGTTCCGCTATTGAAACAAATCTCATATTTTGGGCTGCATGTTTGAGATTGAAGAATTCATGAGGAAAGATGGTTTGCTTTGAGGTTTTTTCAAGAATGCCTTGTGATTATCTATGACTAGATGGAGGAAAGGAAGAGAGAATTTCAATGTTCGATTCTTTAAATGGTTTCCTTTCAGACTCCATCTAGTAAGACAGAAAGATAGTGAATTCTTCGATGAACTCATTGTAAGGACCAAGATTTTCCGACCATAAAAACATACGCGGCAGTAGGAGTCTTGCAGAGAAGAAGCATGCGTGGTAGTAAGGCGGAGAGCTAACAGTAAGAGGGTAATGCTATGCATGACACTACCGCGAGTGTAAGGAAGAGAATAGAGAGAAAACTTAGCACCACGCATGACAGAGAGAGTAGCACCATGAGTGTAACGTCGCGCATGAAAGAGAAAGAGTAGCGCCACGAGTGTAACGTCGCGCATGAAAGAGAGAGTAGCGCCGCGAGTGTAATGCCGCGCATGAAGAATACGAGAGAGGGAGTTACCGCCGTGAGTGTACGAAGAAGAAGTTTTCACACACGGCAGTAAGATGAAGCAAATGGGCTATCACCTTGCGTGCAACGCCATGTGTGTCACCACCTGCTAGATACATGCTGCCACACTTGTCACTTGTACTGATGCATGTGTAGTACTTGCCACTTGTCCAGCCTTGGACTGCCACCCCAGCCAGTAGGGTACTTAAGCGCCTCTCTCTCTCACGCCATTCATTTTTCATTCTCTCTCTTTAGAGCCTTTCACCTTAGAGCTCACTGTTATCTTATTGTTAAGGCCATTGATGGAATATTGAAAGGGGGGGGGGGGGGGAGGGGGGGGGCGGGGGGACTATGAAAGAGGATTGGAAGGCACCATTGCTTATTAGGTTAGTGGACCACACCACCATTACACCTGATTTTGTAGAGGCATGAAACCAAAATACTTGTAAGCATGAATAGGTGATAGAAAGTGAGTGTGTTTATGCTTTGTTTCACAGAGTTAATGCCTCTAATGCATGATGAGTTTAATGTTGATAATGTCTATAGTGCTCTTAAAAATATGTAGAACAATATCCATGTATGTCTAACTCAAGATGGTAAAGACTACATGATGTTATCCACTATGAATTTAAAGTCATTAAGTATCCTTTGAGACATGTAATGATATTTATGATGAAAATTTGACAGATCTTCCAATGAAGATCTCTCAAATTTTAATACCTTAGTCTAATTAAAAAAAAAGAAATAAAGTTGTAGAGAAAGTGGGACAGATCGAATTCAGATCTGAGGCCAGATTTGCTCGAAAAAGAGCAGATCTACTCTCAGATTTGTAGCAAAGCCATCATGATCTAGAGCATTAAAATACGATTTTTAAGACAAGTTAACATATCAAAAATAAATAAAAGAAGCAAAACAGTAAAAAGAAGAAGAAAGAGAGAGGAAGAAATAATACCAAATTAAGCCGGATGGCCTAAGATTCCCAAGCCTTCGAGGGCTCGCCCGTATCAAAACCAGTCCTCTTTGACTCTTTAATTCGGATGTTGACCAGTAGATCTATGGTGTAAAGGGTTAGATCTAGGGTTTTTTTGTAATCTCCAGATGTTGAATATGAATTCTAAAATTTTCTTTAATTTTTTGGGATTTTTCCTAAATTTTTAAGAATTTTCTAAGGGTTTCTCCTATTTTTGATATTTTTGAGTGATTTTCTTAATTTCTAGAATTTCTAAGGCTTTTTTGGTCTTTTTTTCTCTCTCCTTTTTGGCAAAGGAAAGGGGATATTCATAAGATTCAATTAGTCATTTTTCCTAAATTTTTTGGAGTTTTTTTGGAATTTTTTTTTTATCTTGAAGTTTTAGTCTTATCTAATTAAAGAAAACACATTTATTGCATCATTAGATGCGTTGACTGTGTCATCAACCAGCGCCTAGTCCTGTCGAGCCCATTATAGCCCAGCCCGTGGCCCAACAGTTGGGTCTCATAGGGAATAATTGTTATTTATTACATATTTTTTTTAGTTGGTACTATTCAGGCGATTCTTGGATCGTTGGAAAGCTCTTGGCTTCTACTTCAAATTGGGATATGATTTGGGTAGTTTTGGGGTAATTAAATTGGGTCTACTAGGATAATGTAGTCCTAAGGATTAAAAAAACCATAGAATTTGTCAGATTTAAAATAAGGTGTCTACAGTTGCCTCTCTTTGGCACTCCCTGTCATTCGAGGGACAGGTGAGTGGCAAAAAAGTAGACACTTTGGCATTCCCTGTCCTTCGAGGAACAGGTGAATGTCAAAGATA